GAAGCAAACACAAATTGTGGGAATCTGCTGCCCCAACTTATCTGCCCCTGAAGATAAAATACCCAAGTCCTTCCTTCCAATGGCTATAAAAGAAACTTCAAGAGACTGGCTCAGCCTTAGGGATCTATTATTATGGCAGTAGTTGTTAAATTAGGGGATTCACTACCCCCTTACTATTATATGATCTCCAGTTTTTCTGAAAACATAAAAATGCCCATGTGATGGAGCACAAAGCAATACATCCTTTTCTTTATTCTTGTACAGGTGACTCCAGATATTTCACCAAGGGTTACAATAAGGATCTTTCAGTAATGCTATTTATCAGTCCTTCTAGTAAATTTTTCCATGTACTGTTAAAAAATAATTGGTCTTAGAACTCCCTGAAGTGAAAAAATAAGGATTAGAACAATTAGTAACACTAACTTTTAAGGTAACTCTGAGTAACCAGATGAATTTAAATTGAGATTTTTCTTAGTGTTTCATAAAAACTGTATGAAGTTTTCAAAACACTGTTAGAGGAAGGTGTATGGAGATTTGATCTAAACTACTGATTGCTACTGTTTCTCTCTCAGATTCCAAAACAACCTCCCTCAGCTAAAAACTGATATTTACTGAGAAGAAAAATAAACATGTTGAAAGTAAGCACCTTTAATAAGAACCTATGTCTTCGTGAGTTCCACACTCAGTGAATTAAAAAAGTATCAAATTTGATTATTTAACTATTCTGAAGCTGGGTTCATTACATTATGAGTAATTAACAAGACCTCATTTCCTACAGGTGCAACAATAAGAGATGACAGGTATTGAAATACTTGGGAGGTTGAAAACTGTTGGATAGAACACTTTACTGATCAAGGTGAATCCTTATAAGCCTAATTACAGAACCTCTCATTACAATTTTAGCTTGGATAAACTGATATTGGTTTGCTTTGTACTGAAAATGAAGTCCTAAATATAATCACAAAAAAATCTCTTTTACAAAGACAGCATATACATTAGACTGCTATACTCCAGGACTGGAATGAGAGTAAACTTTGTGATCCTGAGTCAGGGGACTTAAGGTTTGAGTCTCATTTTGGCAATATTTTTCTGATCTGATCTTGGGTGAGCTGCCTTACCTACATCTTTGTTGCCACAAGAGTAAATTGAAGTTACTGCTACCTCTGTAACTTTCAAGGTGTTATAAAGCTGAATTAATCTTTGTCAGAAAAGTCCTGAGGAAAGGCAAAGTGATTTTATCTGCATTAACTAAAGAGATCAATTTTGGGATACCAAGACAGCAAATGCCTATGTGACATTATTATTCTTGAGTTTATGGACAACAGGGAAAATGTGGAGACAAACAGTGCTTCAAACACTTTCCTTAAATGATTTCAACCTGCTGACAAATCAAGCCTTTGAGGAAAGATGATGATGCATCCAATCTTGCTATAATTTTTCTTGCATTTAATCTAACTGCCAAGTACTGGTTGGTTGTTTAAGAGTTTATTATGACCCTCCAAGCATCCAGACAGTACTTCAGCATTCTAATGCTAAAGGGTTTAGAATCCAATTTAGACTTTATTAGCTCACATAACCTGGTGAATGGGGAGTGTTTGGTAAATTTATACCATTCAACCTTTTTTCACAAAAGAATCTCTCCATCGGTCTGATGGTATTGAGGATAATAGAAATGGTCTACAATAGTAGAGTGCCAGGGGACAACAGGGCTTAACTCATTGCAAAGATACTGCTGTTAAGTCTGCAGAGAGAAAAATGTTATAATGCAAACAATTTTCTAGAGTTTTTTTACGAAGGCCATATAAATTAAGAGATTAAACCCTCCCATACATGTACCTGTGTGAAGGAGGTAGGTGTACCCTCTATTATTAGAAAAGGGTTAAAAATGTTTTAAGTTCAAACTCTTTAAAAGCTTTTGCTGAAATTATGCTTTTAAGTTTCTCATGCACTAAAGTATGTAGAGGATTTGCATATTAGCAAGGATATATTAGCTGTTTAAGAAACATTGTGAAAACAATGCAGAAGAGTCAGCACATTTCTACACATATTTTAACAATGTCTGTTGCTCTGCACTAGGCCGGAGATCTGTGCTGTACCATGACTGGGACAGGAGTTCCTGACTCTGTGTCCTATGCTGTCGCGAATGAGGCAGTCTCTGTTTTGTGATCTCTTCCCAGAGCAAAAAAGGCAGAGATTTTGGTCAGAAAGTCTAAACTAACTTCTGCCAAACAAATTGTATCCTGTTGCTGTAGGCAACAAAATTCAACAGCTTCATACTTTAGTACTTTTAAAGGTCAAAAAAAAATTTTTTTACCTCCTATTTTTTCATTATTGTTTATGTATTTTCAAATGAGTGCAACACTGTGAAGAATAATCAGGATATTGCCAAATGTGAATAGCTTGTGTTTCAACAGGAACTTAGTCTGGGAGTTTGACATTCAGATTTTCCACTGACATCATGAAAACAAGCTGAACAGACTTTACATAATTTTTCACTACATACTTCTTGCGTGAAATCTAAATTTCCCTCTTCCTAGGTTTTTCCAAATTACTACAGTTTAGCTTCACTACCATGACTACAAAAATTCAGACTTCTATAAATACAAAGTTCTGATGATTTTTTTTCCCCCTAAGCCTTTTGTCTTTTCTTTTTCCCTCTTCTCAGGTTGAAAGGAAACAAATACTTCTTACTGAATGAAAAGAAAAGAACAGAAAACTGCCTATTGCCTACTAGGGAGCCCCACCAACTATGCTTCATAAGGTTGTTTAAATCCATTCTCCCCAAACAGATTTTAATTCAGATAATTGCTACCCACTCAAAACTCCCTTCACAGTAGCCACTTTCTGTGATATCCAGTGCTATCACCCAAAGGAAAAGGTTTATATAATGGTTTATGTGCCCCATAAAGAAGAGCCGACTTCAGAATAAACTGCCCACACAGACAGGCCTCATCTCCATTCGACAAGCAGGTCCATGTGGATCTGTAGTGTTCTGGTCCAGACTGGCCTAGTGAACACACTGTACAATTAAAGCCAGAGTTTGAGGTGAGGCAATTCTTAAAGGATAATGCACTTTACTTGAGCAAACACAGCTTTTCAGGAATAAGATCCTTTCAGGTACCTCTAGGAAGCATTTGTTTCTAACAGTCCTTATTCCCACTCCAGAACTCCAGATGCATTTGTACTATTCATACTAGTGTTTGAGGCCAGTGGTTGGCTTAGCGCAGCTGAATTGTACAAATCCCACCTGGGAGGCAGTGGACTGCTAAAAGCAGAAAGTGGTCTGCCCTGTCAGCACACTAGGAGCTGGTCTGTAAAAAGTTTTCTCAGCTGAGATTTTCATGTTCCTCAGGGGCGTAAAACAAGCTGCAATTGAATGATTTTGTCCCAAATGAAGGTAGGGAGAAAGGGCTGGAAGAGGAAAGACCAAAATGGCTAGTTGCCCTCAGTATAATCACCTGTGACAGACCTATTTCACATTCTCTCTTTATATCACAAAGATCAAGGGCTCAATCCTCAGTGTCCCAAATCCCCACTGCGTGCTACTGCCCTGCTTCCAAGGCTACCGGCTAATCTAGTGTAAATCTGTCTCTCCCAGCACAGCTTTCTGCTCTCCACAAGCTGCTCCTCAGACCAGGGGGAGTGCATGACTGAAACTTGGTAGTGAGGACCCCCTACTGAGGAATGTGAAAGAGTAGGAAGGAAATCGCTGCTGAAAAGATGGCTTATTTCTATGGAAATGAACAGCTCTAACAGGCCAGGCAAGGTGGGATCCACCACAGCACAGCAGGTACCCAAAGCACTGCATGGTAAGAAGTTACCACTGCGTGGTAACTGAGACAGAGCAGGGCACAAGACCTTGGTCTCAAATCCTGACCAAATGCCTCCCCCCAGAAAAGTAGCTGGAGTGGGCATAGAGTATCTCTTACTTTAGCTAGAAAGTGCCTTCTGAGAAATCTCTCCTGAGAGAGTTTTAGCAAAACTGGTATGGATGGCCTCACACATTAAGATCTCGTTCCAACAACTGCTGCCAAAATTATGTTTTTTCAGAAAATTCCCAGTCAGTTCTAATTCAAGTGATCCTGAAGGAATGCTGAAAGACAACAGTGTGGGACTGGCAGAGATAAACCTGATACCAGCTCCAGGCTGCTAAGAAATACTGCTAAACTTGAGTTACAAGTAAATTGTTTGCAGTGTTAATGTGCTTAAACTGTTTTTCCACTGATGGAAACTAAAGCTGTAAATCAGGAAATTTTTCTTTTGCATTTAAATACTGCAGTGCTGTGCAAATGCATGAGATTCTGAACCTGAGGGCTTTGTTAGAGGAGTCCATGGCTGAGTAAGCAGAAAAAAGTAAGCTTAAGTAGAGAGATTAAGTATAGGTTGTTTATGGAGATCACTGGTATGACATATGGTTGACAGTATTGGTAAATATGAGTTTGTTTTTAAAGGACAGAAGGTAAAGAATGTCTGTAAAGGGCATCAGAAAGATACTCGATAAGCAGCAACAGGGCTAGCAAGCAAAAGTACTAGCTTTTTGTCTGTTCTTTGCAGACATTTTGCTGTAGCAGAACTCCCTCTTGAGAAGGAAAATCCCTGTAAAACACAGCTGCAGCAACACATTTATAAAACCAGCTATTCAGACAAATATGACTGAACTGAAGCTTGACTTCCATTCAGTTTTTTCTTGAATACAAATGAGTACCAAATTCCAGCATACTTAGGGCCATAAATTACATTCTCAATTTAGTCGGGGTTATCTCATCTCACTTCTCTCAACTGTCAAGGTTTACAATACAGTACAAATGCACTACACACAAATATGTCCTATTCTCTCTGTGAAAGCTGTTGCTGCCCACGGACTGGCTTCCTGACAATGAGTACCAGTCAGAATGTGAAAAACGCCGTTTCTTTTGTATTCACCACTGTTTAAAATAGTGACATTATCTGAGATAACAAATCACGTCAAGTCTAAGGAATAAGAAAATATAAATATGTACCTTTCTCAGTACAGCAGAAGCTGTTCCCTCCGATCTTTTCCTGTGCTGCTCTGATGTGGATTTTATAGAATAAGAGTCCAAGAGCCTGCAGTATTCAGTCACATTCGATCACATCACAGGAATAGCTTATCAGTTCTGTTACACAGACTCTAAAAGGAGCGGTGTCCTTTTCCCCAACTCCTCCTTTCACATATTTCTGCACTCCTTAAAGGTACTCAGTGCTCTAATAATCTTTGAGAAAGCTATTAATCTGTCCCTTAATGACAGTGTTCTTGTTACTTAGTTACAGCACAGTGAATGCTGACAAAGTCAGGTATGAGCCAAATCTGTGCTCAGTGTAAATGCACTGTGTTCAATCAAGCAACTCCAGGAATGAATTTGGCCCAAGGGATTTAGTTTGTTTTTTCAGCTCAGACGTGGCATGCTACAGCCAGTGCAGAAGTCGTAGAAACAAGAACTAGGCATGTGGGTTAAATACAGAGTGCTGCTGGAGGGAGGGAAGCACATATAGCAAATTGCTTAACAGCAACTAGTAGGAGGAGGTGCATTCAATATCTTATAAATAGTATACTTGAATTTCTATAGCTTCTAGTTGGAAAAATATTCTGCTAAAAACAGCCCTAAGATAAAAGAAGAGGCTTATTCTAATAAACCTTTTTCTTGGCTTGACTGTCTGCATTGTTATCGTTTCCTTCGAGGTAGAAACAATATAATCAAGCTGCAATTAAATTGCACCATAAAAGAAAATAATAAGAAAAACCAAAACTCAAACATAACTTGGTAGTAGTTCTCTGCTGTATTCTCACTACAAAACTCAGACCTAGTCTAGTGTTTGAAGCTCTAGCCTAGGAACTTTTTAAAGATTCAAAGAAAGAGTTTGTATCAAATGTGGCAGAAACAGGAGGTGAAGAACTGAAAACAGGCTTTGTCACATGAGGGGGGAAGTCTTTGAAAGAATTAGGGACTACCTAAGAGCATGACAAGAGAAGAATAAAAAATTTTAAGTGGATGGATTGAATAAAGAATTGTGGAAAAAAGAAGTAGGTGAAGATCAAACTTGTTGTAGTAACTCTAAACAAAACATAACTAAGACCCTGCAATATAGCATAGTACCCAATGTCAATACAGAATAACTTTGAAGTATCCCTTCCACATATAACAGAGCTTTAGCTCAACAAATATTTTCTTATAATCCAGACATCAAGCAGAACAAAGAATGAAATAAGCAATACTGCACTCCAGCTTCAGTGATAGTAATTTCCTGTCTGGTCAAAAGCTGACTGTGAAAGCATGACAGGTTATACCTGCACTTTCCCTGATGCCACCCACAGTTAAAATTAACTGAGAATTTCTTCTACTGCTGGGCTGTGGAGAAAAGAGCTTAAAACCGTAAAACTTCTTCTATGCACTGACCTGGTTCTGTAAGCATACAGCTATTCTTTGGAGATGTCCTTGCAGTTAACTATAGCTAGTTGTGAACTGGTGGGTGGTATCAGCCCAGCTTCTGCTTAGCAGCATAAATTAGTGCCAAGACTTAACAGATTGAGCAGCATCCCATGACAACACTTCTAAAGGACTTCTAACTTTGAGCTGGATCATATTCTTCAGGCTAGAAGCATGGGAGGAGCAAGCTTGCTTCTGCCTGCCCACAACTGTTTACTTGTATGATAAAGGCTATGCCTGCAAAGTAACCCTTTCTGTTGTCTAGATATGTCATTACATAAGTCAAAATGATGAATGGCAGTAACTGCAAATTAGATAAAGCCAGAGGTTCAGTTAGTTAAACCACCCAAACTGTGTGATAATGTAAGTTGCTCCCAAGTTAAAAGAAATCTTGTAATACGTTATTATGGGATATTTTCTTCTCCAAGAGAAGTTTCTTTGGTAGACTGTTAAGACATTGGCTTATGCCTTTCTTTAATTTACTTTTTTGCCCAAGACAGGGCCTATATAGATATGGATATTTTTGTAAGTTTTCACTAACATAATAACAATGCTACAAACTCCAGAGTGCATACATTTATACACTATTCACATGATTTATCCCTGTAATGATACTTGTGTCCTAGTAAAAATTTACCCTGATATTAATACATCCAGGTTAGAGAACTGTGGAAAGCTATAAATGTATTGGCGTAATACAATTTTTACATAGAGACAAGATCTTAAAACATGGATTTGGTATTGCAGAACGTCAGGATACTGCATTCACAGGGCACGCCTATGAAAAGATGTAGACCCAGGATGTCTTAGCCTGGGAGCAACATCACATGAATAGGAACAGGTCAGAGTAACTGGCTAGTGCAGACTGACTCACTCTGACAGTTTAACAGGGTTAAGCTCAGATCTGTATGCACAAACTTGTGTAGACTTGCTCATGTACAGAGCTCCCAATTGCAAATGGAGGCTATACAGCTGCAATCACATGATGCAACGTGGCAGTGCTATTCCCACTTGCTGTGCATAGCACGGAGTTAAACCTTTCTAAGTAAATCCATGCCTAGCATAACAACAAATGGCATTCCCTTCTTCTAATAATCCTGGTCAAAGACTGGTTTTTAAAAGCCTAAACAAAGAGAGACAGGAGAGCGAGCACATTATCATAAACCCCACAGATTATGTGAAACACGGAGTGGAAGAAAATTCTTTTGAGCTTGCATTTTCAGAATAGCAGGAGGGATTTTCTTTTATGTGAATTTGCTGTTTTCAACAGTCAAATTAGTTTCTCTTGCTGAGAAACATGCAACAGTGGAATTTTGAAAAAGGAAGCACCACTCATATATGAATCAGGAAACTGCCTGGAGATATCTAAAATAGGAAACAGCTAAAAGAGAAGAAAGATGGCCAGCAAAGTTGTACTCTAACATTTAACAGATTATACAAGCAGTTAGACTATTTTGTGTTTACTGTGCATCTTAAAATGTCATCATGTAGACCAAAAAAAAAAACTTCCTGCTTTCTAAGACTTTATAACTCCTCATAAAACCTTTGAAGCTCAGTTAAGTCTGACATATTTCTGTCTTTTCTCCCCTCGCTTTTTTGGTAATATATGTATGTTGAAGCATTTGAATGAAGTCAAGAACTTGTGTTACTTGAAGCTTCATTTGTCTCTGCTGGTTTTTTCCCCTCATTTGCAATCAACCAGTTGTTTAGGACAAACTATGAACAGAAGATTCTATGTTAAGGAAGGAAAGAATAAAATGGCATAGATTAAATTCTCAACAGCAACGAGTCCTACTCAGACAAATTTCTGAAAATAAAAAAAAAGCAAACAAAGGGAGAAATTGCAACAAAACTGAAATGTTAAAGCATTTTTGTTGGTTTACGAACCACACAAATGTTTTAAGTAGAGGAAACATTGTTAGCCAAAGGATGTATTCTTTGTAACAGGATGTCCTTTTGGGGCACCTAGCAAATATTAGAATGGTTGGTTTTCTTTCAGAATTACATTTTTAAATGGAATTTAAAGTATGACCTGATTTAGAGTAATTTTGTCCTATGTGTACTTTTCTTAGCTTTTTCAATGATGTAGTTTGTTTAGATACATTTACAGACCTTACATAAAAAAATTATTAGGTAATGGGATATATTTGTCCCACCTTAACAAGATGTTGTAAACTTACTAGACTTTGCATGGAAATCTGATCAGCACCTCAGTCTCATAAACCAAAATTAGTCCTTTTCTTCCCTTATCAGTTTGACTTTTAACTCTCCTAAAGATGGATTTGTCAAAGCTCTTAAAAGCAGATATAAAAAATGCAGAAAAGTACAGCAGAGTTTGACTGTAAGCAAACACCCACAGACTCCTTCATGCCAATGTGAAGCAATAGCCAGCAAAAAGTAGTATTAGAAAATTCTTGCTACACAAGTCAGTTAAGAAGCCTCAAATAAAAGTGGTAAAAATACTTCTCTGGTTTGTCCAGGATCTGTGTCTTCAAACAAGGGTCCTCGCTTGTCAGCATAACCCCCGTGTTAGAATGCTATCCATATATTTAGCAATTTGAATCATGAGAAGGTTTTATCTTGCTTTGAAAAAAGACTGGTAACCACCCCTCCCCTGCTACCATTTATTCTGTCCTTTTTGTAGCTCTGGGATATGGTTCTCTCAGTTGCCAGGGACTATGTCACCATTTCCACTTTCGTATTCACCATTTGACATGCCTTTCTTCCAACATGCTTTTTCTTTCCCTCCTCCTTCCTCCTTAATGCTAAGGACACCATGCTACACAGTAGCAGAGGAACAACAAGAAAAAAAGAAAAAAAGAGTACAATCAATCACAAGAGAGATGGTAAGAAACCAAAAAGTCCTACCTCATGCAGAGACCTCATAGTTCAACCACTGATCCAGTACAGTTCACTGACACTTCTGTAAATTATTAGTTAGGTCATGCCACAAAATACAACCTTTGATATAACCCATTTCCAACCCCACCCACTAAAAAAGAAACAAGTTATGACTTCCAAAGATGGTATCTGACACATCTCTTCTTTCCCCCACCCTGCCAGGTCACTAATCTGGGAACATAAGACATAAAGCAAACCATGCCAGAAAAACAGGAAAGACATGAAGATGTTTGAAAAGTCAAATTTCTAAAATGTTAGGTAGAAAATGTAGTTGGTCCTGGTTGTCTTCATGAGGAAGAATTTAAGTAAGCCATTAATAAATGTAACAAAAAGTACTTCATATGAAGAAAAAAAGAGTACAGAATTCCAAGCTGTCCTTACAATAAATTCAAAAAGAGAAAGTCTGTCCATTAACAGAACCATTTCATGCCTTACAAAACCTCTACTTTTGTTGAATGGATTTATATACATTTCTGAAACGTATTACAGTGGTGTTTCCTTTGCCCTTTTAATACCACACTGTTTACAGTACATTGAATAAACACCTTCCCCTGGAAATAAACCAAACCACATCTAATGCATTAAGTTAATTTATTACTTTAAATATGACTAGCTACAACTGACAAAATTCTGCAGAAATATGTTAAGTCTGATAGCTATCTTGTAAGAAGTTTTTTTTTAATCCCATGTTTTGAAAAAATATGCTTTCACTGCAGAAACACAATGCTTCATGTAAATGATTCCTGATACTAGAATGTATTTGCCACTAAAGGACTTAATGCTTGCTTTCTTAAAAGAAATTAAGATATATATTTTATATATATGTAAAAAAAGTGTATCACTAATTATTCTGATCAGCTTAATGCTAATGACAAAAGAATTAAAGTAAGAGAATAGAAAGCTATAGGAGATGAGCCAAAAACACAGCAGAAGCCACACCTGATAACCAGAATCTGTCTTTCGTCCCTAAGAAAGATTTTTGAAGTGTAGTGCAGACACACCTACTCAGTGCTGACTGCAGCAAATATCAGCAGCTACCCCTCTTATTGATATTGTCACCATGGGCAAACCCTACTCCTCATTGCTGATATTTGCCTCTACCGTTCTCAGCGATCAAGCTTGTGAGAATGTGCAAAAACAAGCAGAGTGGGATTACACAGGCTTTGTACTTTCTTCTGAAGATAGCAGTCCTGATGGGAAAGCCTTAGCCTGTGGAACTGCACAGTGCTTCATCATTAGCTGTGAGATACAGTCAGAGGGCTGGTGACACCCCAGCTTCACACACGCTGCCAGTGGCACAGCAGCAGCTATGGATAGTTCTGGTTCCCAGATGATTTAAGAAGGATGCCAAGTGAAAGCAACCGACTCACTTTCAAGCTAGAAAAGACAAGTTGTGTGCTGATGTGTTTAGGAAAACACAAACATCTAAAAGAAGCTACAATCTCACCACTGCTGCGTAGGCTGTGGTTCACTTAGACTCTGAGCTCTAAAATAATTAAAAGCAATCAGTGTGGCTGTTACAATGGGCACTTGGTCAAGATCCTATCCTTAGAAGAGTTTAGAAGCATTACTCCAAATTTATCATCAATTCTTTCCTAAATTGCCACTGTTGGTGCTGTTTAAAGGTAATGTTTTCTACCAACAGCTTTGCTACATTTAAGGCCTTTCCTTATTAGCAAAATACCATAATGCTGCAGGGACATTTCTTCAAATAAACTTGTTTTGTGTTTGGGGAAATTTAATTCTATCCTTCATCCTATGTGTCTGAACTAAATGCTGTGTGAAGAACATATGCTCAACCCTGCCTGATTCAATTCAGGATAGTGGCTAAAATGAACAGCTAAAACTACCTTGCATGCATGCACCTGAAAAGCATAAAAGATTAGTATCTGAACACACTTGCAGTTTCTTTAATTCAAAGGCCTCTCAGTATGCTCTAGTCATGTATTTCTACTGCTGCTGCAGTGGGTAAGAATCTTTCTAGTGATTTATTGATTAGTGCTGCAGGAGGCAATGGAGAGGGGTTTTACCTTTTTTGTTGTTGT